TGTGCATGATGCTGCTGCGACACATGCGTGATGATACATTTTACAAGAGGTTCTTGTTAGCAGTAACGCCGCATTCATGCTGACCCACATGTCAGGAGAGTCTTGCACTGTCCAGAAAGGCGTGGCGAGATATTTGCCTTTTGAAATTTGTGCCGTTCCGTTGCATGTTGTTCCTAGTAGCTTCTTGCTCCTAGTAGTAAGGCCAGGAGCCCCTAGTAGCGTCCTGTTGCATGAACTCAAAACAAGGCCAGATCAGTTGACGCATCATTTGACAGGCCTCACTGGGCCCTTCTCTGTACCAAGAGGCTTTGAGATTTGCGGGAGTGAGCAAGAGATAAACACAGGGAGAACCACATGAGAACAAACAGATATATAGTCAAAAAGGCATGTGTCTAAACATACTATAAAACCATTGTTGGCCAGAAACATCTTCCAAGATCTCCTTAATAGCGTTTAGCTATTAGTAGTAGGCCCTTAAAGCTACTAGTAGCGATGCCAGGAAAGACTTCTGAAAGAGCCCTTGTTACTACGTAGTAGCTTCTAGTAAGGCCGGGTGCTACTAGTAGCGTCCTTGCTACGATCCGCGAGGCGTTAGATCCTGAGGATTACGAGACGCGCTCTGACCGGGACCTGCAGGAGGCGGGATGGGCGAAGGGAATCAGGGCGAGTAGGCCCCTTGAAGAAGCTCGCATTATTCATGTGGTTCCGGGATTTTTTAGGGAAACTTAAGTACATGTACTAGTAGCGGTGGCCTCCAACCTACTAGGCACCCATTCCAAGCAACCGTGACAACAATGGATGCATGAGCATAAGTTCAAGATTCTTAAATTTAGCGATGCCATCCGCTGATTCCGCTGCCGAATGTTGCTAAGACCATTGCTGGCAAAGAGGGGGGGCTGTTTTGAGCATGGATTTCTACAGCACGGTTTTTCAATTTCGGGTCTCCGAATGAAACATGTCCAACCACTATGGGCTGTTGAGCTCCAAATGGCTGATGGCTGTTCTTTCTGTCCTGAACTCCAACTTTGAGCCATTCTCACTGGGGCACATCCAAGCGGTTTTTCTTCTTGTGCCTTTCGGACCTGTCAACGCCCTGTCGACCCGGGCGGTGAAGGCCCCAAGACCCGGTGTCCTTCGCTTCTCGAGGTGGAAGACGATTGACTCAGCCGTTGCTGTTGGCGCGGGTGAAACTGGCCCGCAACTCTGGCTCTCAAAAGCGGTTCTCGAGGATGCCATAACCCACTGTTCCTGAGGGCCACTGCTGTTAGTTTATCAACCAAAAGCTTGTGTAGTAGAAGGGTTCTTCGTGCTTCATCCATTTCAATGGAGTGAATAGTGCTGCTTTGATTTTCAAATAGCTAGACAAATGAACCAGGTGCTGGCCTTGGGTTTAACATGGATGCTGCTTCAAGATTCACCTTGGAGTTTATCTTGAAGAATTGACCACTCCACAGAAGCTTCACATGATAGGCTTTCACAGTGAGGAGACCAATACTCATACCAATCCTACCTCTCCAAGGGTACTTTGACGTGCAAATGAAGGGTGACCCTTTGACTTGTGAAGGACTTTAGATGTGAGTTGAAGGCCGGAGTGTGTAAGGGTTGCAGGAATTTGCTGCAAATTGTTTGAACTGAGCAATCTGCTAAAGACTCGGGATGATTCTTTTTGTTCAAAGCAGTTTCCAAAGCTGATGTTGAAAGAGTTCCTGTTGAGGTGATTAGCTTAGAAGCTTCACATGTTCCGTCTTCGTCGCCCAAAATCCCAAGAATTGGGACTTGCAAAATGCGAGGGGCCGACCCACCGCGCCGTCACGCCGAAAAATGGGGGCCGCAGGGCGGCCATGGATGGTGGGTGTCTTTCCCGCTCTTCCGTCATGGAAAAGGAACTCAACCTTAGCGTCCTTGCTACTACTGGCGATGCCAGGAGCCCCTAGTAGCGTCCTTGCTACTAGTAGGGATGCACCTGGCTACTAGTAGCAAGAAGCTACTAGTAAGAGCGTCGGTCTGGCTCCGGCTCTGGAAGATTCAGCGCAGAAGATTCGGTTGGTACAGTGCATCTCCAGATCTCTCCAGATCTTGTCTGAATCAAAGTGAACCAACTTCCAACCAGCCTAAGAACCAACAAACATCCTTCACCGTATCGACCATCCGCCTCACTGCCATGTGGGAAGCGGGCGATTTCACGGCGGAGGAATGGACAACCATCCAGTAGCTGGGCAAAATGATGTTTGGCAGAGTCCCAAGGAAGCTTCTTGTTACTAAGTAGCTTCAAAGACCTACTAGTAGGTGAATGGATTCCCAGTTCGATCGTGCTTTGAAAACCTCTCAACTTTCGATGTTTGCCTTCTAATCTCCCAACTTTCTGTAGCACATGGAAAGAACAAGTTCACTGTTTCCGGTTGATTGAGCGTGCCAGATCCGCATCCCATTTACGAATTTGGAGTCCGGCAAAGTTCGATGAAGCTTCGACTTCGACTGTCGCCGCGAGACCCACACGCGGCTCCCTTCTATTCCCCTCTCAAACTATGGGAGTCTCGGCTCAGTGGGTGACTACTGCTGGGACTCCCAAAGCCACATCACGGTTCCCCATGTTGCATCACCCAGACTTGATGAACAAAGTTGAACCCACACTCAATGGTCCTATGCTCAATGATGTTTCCTTTGTTTATTTTTAGCCCGCTCCCATGATTTGGTTCCTGGATTTCTAGGGAAACTTAACTTGATTCTCAATGGTCCTATTCTCCAGCTCGAATCCTGAGTTCCTCCAACCCGGTTTTGCTCAATCCACGGTGTGACACCAAGTGGGTCCTTGTGCGATCCAAGGACGCAGCTGGACACGCTGAAAGTGTTCGCTCAGGACAGCGAGAAGTCCGGGCGTGAGTGGAGCCAGAGCCCTGGTGGGACCTCAGATCGCTACTAACAAGAAGCATACTAGGAACAAAGGGCATCGCTACTAGGAGCAAAGGGCATCGCTACTAGGAGCAAGGACTCTACTAGGGGCTCCTGGCCTTACTACTAGGAACAAGAAGCTACTAGTAACAAAGGGCATCGCTAGTAGGTTGGAGGCATTACTACTAGTAGCTATAAGTCAAGCTTGGTTGAAGCATGTTAGATGTGTGCGCGTGTTTGGGGCATGTTTCCTACACAAGAGAGAGAGAGAGAGGCCCTTTGCATCCTTGATGATCTTGCAGGATGTTTTGCCTCGTTCTTGGTTGTATGTCAGCGCACTTGGTGTTGTCAAGCCACTATTGCCCATGGTTTTAACCCCAAATGTAGAAACCCTTTCCTACAGCAAGGGGACTAAGTCAGATCGCTACGACAGAAGTTTCCTACCAACATTTTCCTATCAGCTTCCTTCACCCTTCGACAAAGGCAACAGATAAAAGAAAGCAAATTGAGACCCGCTTTCGATGACGAAGAAGCTACCAGGAGCAAAGGGCATCGCAACTAGGAGCAAGAACGCCACTAGGGGCAAAGGGATGTAATTCTTTTGGACCCGCTTTCGCCCGATGACGAATGAGGTTTGATCACCTTGGAGACCTTAGAATTCCTGGCCTCCTTGCCGGAGAGCGTGAGGGAGAGACTTGCGGCGCAGAAGCTCGAAGCTCAGTGGGTCAGGTGAAGACGTTCCGGGTCGTGGAACGACAGCATAAAAGCACACTGCATAAGGCATAACAAATGAAGAAATGCTTTCAAATATATTGCTTTGATATCCGGAGTCGGTGATCATGATTAAGCAATGCTCGTGCCAATCGACTGGTCCACTACTCAGAACTCTTAAGTTCGCAAGACAGGACATACAATCTTCGCTTCGAAGCGTTTGCACAGCCTGGGTCCAGATGGCCCAGGTACTACAACTTCTCGGTGGAGTCGCCAGCCCCGCGTGGCCCTGCGGGCACGAAGAAGACAAAGATCATTTCAGCTGACCTGGACACCTTCAAGGAGGGCAACTGAGGGCAAATGAGAAGTCGTTGAGTGTTTTTGTTTGCTCGCTGCTTAGCTACTAGCTAGGACGCAGGATAGCTCACGCTTCAAAGGAAGGAAGCGCACTACTGATGTGGTGTCTAAATTTCTTAGCAAACTCAACTTGCTGTGTGAGGAATTGTATGTGTTGTGTGTGTGCTCATAGCATGTGTGTAGGTAGCTTTGTCTTTGAGGTGTTCTTGGGAGTCTTGGGAGAAAGGATTGTTTAAAACCATCCAAGCCTGAATGTAAGGGTTTGGAATTTGTTTGTTGAACTGTGCAGGGATGTGGAACGGGTTCCAGGTACTCAGCAAATCAGAGATGTTCGGCGTGTTTGTTGCCTTCACATGTGAATCTCCAAAGCACAGACCACGCGAATGTTTTTCATCATTTTTCGTGTCTTCCTGAAAGTCCTTTTGGCCCTTTCTTCCAGGCCGGGCAGATCTTGGGCCACGCGAAATCCAAGCCGGTGCTCATCAACTTTGCCAACGAGTGCCTTCGGAGTGGAAGAGTCGTTTCTGAGTGCCAAAGGGCGGAGACCGGACAGGAGACACGAGGACGTTCTTGTGCTTCTGTGTTTTCTCGTTGGAAAAGAGGAGATGCAGAGGAACCGCAAGGCGGACGCATGTATCTTTTTCCAGCTCAAAGAAATCCAAAGCACTATACAAGATGTACAAGTGTTGCGGTTCAAAGCTGAAACAACAAAAGTAGCCCAGATTGATTACACCGATTCCACTCCATTTCTGTTGATGGGTTCCCACTTCCATTTGATTGAATTCAGAAGAAGAGGTGAACAGGATGGAGAGAAAAACTGCCACGTTTTGACCTTTTGTAGCGGTGTCACAGTTTGCGGGTTCTCAGGTGGGATGCAGGTGGTGGTTGGCTCAGCGGCATGTGGGGTGCTCAAGAGGAGAACTGCTGTGCCGTTTTCTTGAAAGTATTGTGAACAAGCAACGGGTCAGCTGGGTCATACTAGAGATACTAGGTCATTTTTTGACGGACCATGGATGGAAGACTCATGCCAATTGCTCAAGTAGGCGCCTGCTTGATGAAGTAGGAGTGGGTTGAAGAAAGAAAGGAAGGAAGAACTTCCGAACCTTATTTTTGTCCAAAAAAGCTTCGTCGCAGGAGTGCTTGATGCGACGAAGTTCGCTGTATTTGTCTCTGTGGCCCTTGCGGCGACCGGACGACGAGCTTTGGAGACGCTCTCCGCCCAACCGAGGCGACCGGTGTTCGGAACCAATATGGAAAGTGTGTATATATACACTGTATTTTGAACGGGAGGTTTCAGGTGATGTTTGGATTCCTTAGCAGAAAGCCTGAAGTATTGTGTTTGGATTCTTTTCTTGCTTGCCTTGGCGATTGTTCTGTCCAGAAGATCCTTGTCAACCCATTGAAAGACACCCAGCTGACACTCAGCACCAACCTGGAAAAAAGATCACTCAAGAACCACCCACCACCAGGACCATCCGGCACCTGGATCCCGGATTTGGATCACAAGCGGCCCGTGGCCTATCGCCAGCTGGGCTTCGGCGAGGGCGGCGAGCGGGTGATCCTGCCGCACCTGGAAGAGCGCCACTTGGAGCGGATGAGACGTGTTTGGTCGCTCGAAAAAGACATGTTTTTGACCCTGTTGACAGTCATGTTGAGTCTTTTTTCAGTCAGGAAGCTTCTAGCAGCAAGAACCTACTAGGTGGAGGCCATCGCTATTGGGTTGGAGGCCATCGCTACTAGCAACAAGAAGCTACCAATAGCATGTTCAGTCATCATGTCCCTTTTTCGGTGGGTTGACCATTTGGTGCCCAATTTTCCAGGTCCAGGTGACGATCAGACAGACCTTCGTGGGAATGAAGAGGCCATGAAGATCCTCAAGAGGCGGGGTTTTGCCGTTTTGGCTTGTCAGGGCAACCGTTCAAGGCACGTTTTACAGAGGGAAGGTTGGAGACAAATCCAGAATCCTGTGAGAAGTTCGATTAGCAAACACCATGCGTCGCACTGGCTCACTCCAAGCATTAGCGCCAATTTCATGAACGCACAGAGTTGCCGCTGCTTTTGTGTTCCAGGGTGGACGTGCCGCGCGCCTACACCAATGACAAAGATGGATTTCCATTATCAGAGGCCGGTGTGGTCTACACGCCCAGCCTCTTGGTCTTCCGCTCACCGGACACCTTGTCTCCCGATGGCAAGATCACAGGCTCGCCCGACTTGACTCGAAAGTCCCCGCATCCACGTCCATCATCCTCGCCCCATCTTCCCTCACCTTGATTTTCTAGCTTCTTGCTCCTAGTAGCGATGCTCTTTGTTACTAGTAGCGATGGCCTCCACCGAGCATAGCGTCCATAAGTTCTTGTCGAATGCATTTCTTCTTGTGAGGCAGCAAAGCATATCCGCCTTGGACCACTTCTCTCCTGTCGGTGGCCGCCTTGGACCTCCGACCGGAGCGTGGCAATCAAGGGGCGGTCTACGGCTTCTCGGTCAAAAAACACGGGCTACCTATGGCGATCCGGAATGAAAAAAGACTTGCTACAGTTACCGAGCACTCGTTGAACAAGAGTGCGACTTCTTGCTTGCCAAGTTCCTTCATGTTTGCCCTTTGGGGCTGATAGAACTCGAAGACTCCGAACAAAAGGCCGAACATGCAAGATGTCTTCACTTAGCTGTTTTGAGATCGGTCTCAGACGGCCCTTCGTCCTTCTCTCAGGTTACAGCGTTGGGAGCACCAGTCCGAGCGAGCCGTATTTAGAGGTCACCAGAGAGAAGATGCGCTCAGTGCTCTACGCCGCAGTGCAAGGACAATACGGTAGCGAACATCGGTAAAAGTAGCGAAGATTGGCAAACGAAGCTGCAAGATTCCTTGAGTAAAAAGAACTGCCGACCGATAGCTCAGCAACGGTATTGGGGGTTGATCTTCCTTCACTGTTGGTGATTGATCAAGATGTAGCTGTTTCAAACATAAGGGCAACATCGCTTTGCAGGTCAATTCTTGTATTTTGTTTTTGCAGGATGCATCTGAATCAATCTGAGGAACAGATATCTATTGGATCTGGATTTCTACAGCAATATACAACATTTGAGATGCTCATGTCTACTCATGTGACTCATGTGCATTTTTTGAGCGTCGATCATATCGCTTTCCAGGAGGTCATGATTCCATTGTCTTGGGAGCTTTGGGCTGCGGTGTCTTCGCAAATTCACCGGAGGCTAGGTGGACTCGGGCCATGTGAGGTCGGAGGGATAGACTTGGGAGCATCTAAGACAACTATAGATATGCTCTAGAGTACTCCATAGCTGTACTCGGCTAATTCGTCGGTTCACCCGGAGCACAAACAGAAGACCTGTGGGCCCTGGTGATTGATTTGAAGTGCCCTGCAAAGAACATGTTCTCTTGTGCTCCGCGGCGCGGTGACGGTACAGTGATGGTGCAGGTGATTGCGATGGAGTGGCGCAAGTTGCTGGAGCCAGGTACGGCGGTACCATTGCGACTGTTGGAATAGAAATACCCCCAAAGACGTAAACACCCAATAAGAGCTTAGAACAGAGCGGGTAAACTGTCCATTTGGACTGCTGAAGGCGAGCAAGCCAGCCTAGGATCCACTTTGACCTTGTTGTGGCGCTTCTAGTCTCGGTCAAACGAATTCCCGGTGTTCTCGTCCACGTTTCATTTGCCAGATGACACACAACTGCTCCAATGGATCCAATTGGACCGGGTTTCAGAAGCCTGAAAGTCGTAGAACAACTTCCAGAAGAGGAACACAACAGATGACGGGGTGAAGCCAGCTTCAGAACTGACTTTGATCTCTCAAACATCGGAGAACCTCGCGATGAATTGCACCCGAGTTCTGACCCAGTTCCACCCACATTCACGAAAAATCCGTGCAATGGCAACATGTCGGGTCCCAACGAACCCATGATGGCAATCTGCGCAATATGCATGGTGTACAAAAAGTGCAAATTGGTCCACCAGCAAAGTCACGTGTTGCAAACCTTTTGGCATGTCGATGCCGGGCGTGTGATGGCCTCCAACCTAATAGCGATGGCCCTCCAACCCATTTTCTGAAAAATTCTGCCTCGGATTCTGAGACGCCATCGCTTTTCCTGATGCACGTGAGTTTTCCCGTTTGGTTCAACGGTCTTTCGTCGCTCCAGGTGGTGAGTTCGGAAACTCCTTCAGCGTCGTGGTTTTCGCGATTACCTTCAGCACCAAGAACTTCCGTGCCTTTGCAGCGCCTCGATTTCAGACAGGAGCAAGGACGCTGCGAGGAGCTCCTGGCCATACTACTAACAAGAAGCTATTAGAAATAAGAAATAGACAAGAATTGAGTTTGATTAGAATTCAATTAGAATCAAAACAAGAAGCTACTAGGTTCCTCCGTGTTCTTTGGCATCGATCGCCGGAAAGTGAGGTCTAAACCCCGAAATCCGGTTCGGTGGAACCACGTTGGCCGAATTCGGTTTGGTCCCGGATCAACAATTCAAACATTCTTGTTATTAGTAGTGAACATTGTTACTACTAGTAAGGTACTTGTTACTAGTAGCGATGCACTTGTTCCTAGTAGGTTCTTTTTTTGGTCTTTTTGAACTGCAAGATGGTTTTCCTCGGGACAAGGCAAGAGCTAATCAAGCTCCTCCAGGTTGCTTTCGCTGAAAGGTCTCCCACCTTTTCGGCTTCTGCCTGTCGACGTGAACAGGAAGGAGTCGTGTTTGGTGTTGCTCAGGAAGTCTTTGGTGAACTTGGGCCATGCATTGGAGATGGTTCTGGAAAGGCAGACCATGAAGCTGAATTCACGGCACATTTGAGGGCGTAAGGTCCTTGGCTGGAAAGATACAAAGATTTGTACGTAAATGCCTCATTACAAAAAAATAAAAATGAATTTTTCAAATCAAGTTATACTTAATACAATTGATATTAATATATATTATATATCATCGTAATTTATCGTTTTTTTTTGATAAAGTATTATTAGTTTATAAATGTCGTAAAATTGAAAATATATTATTTGTAAGCTAAGGTTTTAGAAGGTATTTTTGACAAGGTTTTGTTTGGGGGACTTCGTTTCTGCTCTTTTTTATTTAATTAAGTGGATATTTATTTAATGAAGTTAGGAAGTAAGTTATTAAATTAAATTCGTTTTTAATAAAGACGTAGAAAAAACAAGGTGAGTCCGCGGACCTAAAAGCAAAAAAAATGCATAACCTAGGAAAAATAAATAAGTACAAATTAATAGGCTAATACGAAGCATTAGTCCTCTCTAACTATGATATTTCAAGCATCGCGGATTATGAGGTATTTTCCTTCCGTAGTCCCGTCCCTAACCATGCGTTTCTCGTTTCACTCCCTTCTATCTTCCCTCTCTAGCCCCGTCTATTTATGCGCTTCTCGTCTCGCTTTTCCCGTTTCGCTTCTCTCCATCTTCCTTCCCTAATCCCGTCTCTACCCACTTTATCTTCTTATCCCTACCCATGCCCCTGCTGTCTCGCTCCCCTCCATCTTCCCATTCCTAACCCCGTTCCTACCCGTGCGCCTCCCGTCTCGTCTCCATCTATGCGCCCCTCCATATTCTCGTCCCCATCCATGCCCCTTATGCGTTTCCCGTCTCGCTCCCCTCCTTTCCTTCCCCTCCCTTCCTTCCCCTTCCTTCCTTTCCTTCTTTTCTTTCTCCTCCCTTCCTTCCCCTCCCTCTTCGTTCTTTTCTCTCTTCCCTTCGTAACCCTGTTTATTTCCACCTCCATCTTCCTCGCTCCCGGCATTGCGATTAAACGAAAACCCAAGCATCGGAGATGTTTTTGGGAAAAAATTGTTTATTTTTTTTTTTACGATTTATTTGTTTCCGTATTTCTTTATTGTTAGTGTTGGATTTTTACGGTGGTTTATTGCGAGGTTGATAGCGTTTGAGAAGGGGTAATTACGATGATTGTCGAAATAAAATGTTTAGTTATTAAGAAAACTATTGAAAAACATAAAAAGAAAGGATGATTTAGAAAAGAAATACTAAGGATAAAAATATTGACAAAATATATTATTGTTTTTAATACGATTTTTTATTGGATTTTATGTATATTATGTATATAGGATTGCCTTTTTTATATAATATGAATTAATGGATGGAGAAGATGTTGAGCAGCAATATAAATAGGAATAATTTTATTAATAGTATATACATAATTATGGGAGGTGGCTTGGAGGACAATGGAAGATTGGATTTTGAGGAGTTGGGATATTATGTTTTTTGAAGGGAATATGTTTTAGGGTATTGGGTATTGAAAAAGGATGGATGAGGAGGACGATAAAGAAAATAAAAATGAAACATCATAGAAGCGACGGACAAAAGGACATGTAAAATTGATAAAAGGCTAGGAGATTATAGAAAAAAAATAATAATTAACTCGAGTGATGCAATGAATACCTTAATTTCGAATGATGAAATTATTTGAAATGCATAAAACCAAGCGATCAAAGAGGATGATTGGGCCCAAACCATGCATTGGGCCCAAGTGTTGATGCATTTGACTTCTCTATATAAAGGATGATATATATAAGTCGAGCAAAAAGCGGGCACTGAAGTTGGAGGATCCTAATCCTTCCAAGGTTGAATTCGAATTAAGAAATGAGTTCCCAATATATATGGGATCAAGGAAAAATTAAATATAGGTGTAGCTTTTAGTGGCCATAATATAATGGTTTGCGAGAAAAAAAAAGAAGCAAAAATGTTCGAGACGGTTGTTAATTCATTACATATTAGGACGAAGGTTCCCAAAATCAACATTAGCAATTGGTTGATGTTAGTTATCTAGGATGTAATTAATGATGAGGCCCTCTTTTCGTTAATAGTTGGAGATTGTGAGTGAAGTTTCAACTTTCCGTGACCGGTGCAATAGGAATGGATTCTTAATTTTCAATATTATTTTTTATTTTTTATCTTAAAAAAATATATAATCAATAGGATTTGCAGCATCTTGTTTACACCTATAAATGCAAAATTGACATTATATATATTATAATAATGCTGTCGTTCAACTGCATTTAACATGCTATTGCCCAATTGTATTTGAAAAGGTCAAAAATCATTGAAAATTAAAAGTCCGATTTGCCTCCACTAAGAACTAAGGCATTGAATTGCGAATGTATGAATTGTGTATGTGGTCATTATTGCTATTCTTGTTCCCGGTTGTAAGGTCAACAAATTGGATGTTGAAATTGTGTTTGCCTGG